TTTTAGCTCTACTTTTGCTACTCTTCAGCTGCTTAAAACTTTGGCTAATCTTTTGCTACAATTAGCTTTTGTGAACCGTTTGATTGTTTTAAGTAGTGCTTTGTTTCTGTTAGCGTTTAGCTAGTTTGAGGCTGCTTCAAGTTTCTTGCTACTGTTTAGTTGCTTCTTTTAGCTACCCTTTTGATACTTTCAGCTTTTGCTAACCTTTTATTGCTTTAACTAGTACTTTGGTACTTTTAGATTTTAACATTTTGCTACTTATAGCTTTTAGCTACATTTATCTACATTTAGCTTATAACTAGCTTTTGCTACTGCTATCTAGTCTTTTGCTTTTCAGCTAGTCTTTTGCTACTTTTAGCTAGCTTTTTACTACTTTTTTTCAACAAGATTTTGCTGGATTTTAGCTTATAGCTAGTTTTGATGCATTTATCTAGCGCTTTGCTATCTTAGCTATACTTTTGCTACTCTTCAGCTGCTTTAAACTTTGGCTAGTCTTTGGCTATAATTAGCTTTTGTTAACCTTTTATTGTTGTATGTAGTGTTTTGCTACTTATAGCTTTTAGCTAGTTTGAGGCTGTTAGGTTTTCTGCTACTGTTTTGCTTCTTTGAGCTTTTGATACTTTTGGCCTTAGCTAGTATTTTAGCTATTTTTAGCTAATGTTTGGAAACTTATCTTTGAACTAATCAAGTGTTCTGTTTTTTTTTTTTTATCAGAAACTACAACTTTAGCTTCTGTTTTCTGTCTTATTAGAGTGGTTCTCTTTACTCATCTTGGGTTTCTGAAGTAAAACGTTGACAAGTTGTCGGCTCAGATTATTTCAGATGAAAGCTGATCATGTTCGAGTTTCTGTTCTCGGCTGGTTTCCCTAAACAGCGGCAGAGAAAACCGACTTGTGTCTTTTGGGTTTTTTTTTGTCCCGTGAGATCCAAGATGATAAATCACAGATGTTTTGTTGTGTTTTCACTGTTTAAACCGACTCTAAAGTCCGGCTCGTATTTCAGACGGAGATGATTTACTGGAACGTTTATGGGATGGAAATTAAAAAAACAAATGTTGTTTCGCTCCAGTTTCCTGGCGTTGGAGTGGCGGGCACGGAAACGTTCGAACTCTCCGGTTTTCCAGTGGCTGCTCGTTTCTCGTAAATCTTGTTGCTCAAACGAGCGTGATTAAGTTGATCCTCAGGAAACCGGATAATGGATGGGTCACGGTTCACTGCAGAGAGGAAACGAGTTCTGTGATGGCGCTGCCAGGGTGTTCCTCAGAGCCAGACCCGGTTCAGGACTTTGTTCTGTCAGCGGGTCGTTCTGTGGAGGTTCTACCGTTGACTCCGGTTGTTTCTTTGTGTGTTTTTGTTCAGGTTCATCCTGGTCTTCAGCTGCCTGGTGCTCTCGGTGTTCTCCACCATCCCCGTCCATCAGGACTTCTCGTCCAACTGCCTGCTCATCCTGGTAAGATCCTGGACCGTCCTTCAGCCCAAATGTGTCTCACCAGTCATTTAAAGGAGGGGCTGCAAATTTCAAAGATGGAAACTTTCCATCCATCCACTATCCTTTTACCCACTTCTTCCTTTTTGGGTCGCAGGGGTCACTGGTGCCCATAGCCACCCATCACTGTGTGAGAGGCAGGGGACACCCTGGACAGGTCTCCAGTCCATCAGAGGGACACATTGAGACAAACAACCATTCACTTGTTCTCTCACCTAGGGATAATTTAGAATTACCCTTCCACTCACGACCCGACTTCGTAATAAGTGGAAGATGGATGGATGGCTGGATGGATGGATGGATGGATGAAACTTTCCACCGAAATTAAACAGAATTAAGAAAATTTTAAAATATTAGAAGGACATTTCAGTTTTGTACCTGGACATGTAGGGACAATTAAGTCATGCAGTGACAAATGGGACATGTATGGACAGATGGGACATGTAAGGACAGAAGAGACATGTAAGGGCAGATGGGACATGTAGGGACAGATGGGACAAGGGACATATGGGACATGTAAGGACAAATGGGACAAGGGACAGGAGCCATGTAGGGACATGTAACAACAGATGGGACAAGGGACAGATGGGACAGGTGGGACATGTAGAGGCAGATGACCCATGTAAGGACAGATGGGATGTGTAGGGACAGATGGGACAAGGGACATATGGGACATGTAGGGACATGTAACAGATGGGACAAGGGACAGATGGGACATGTAGAGACAGATGGGACAAGGGACAGATGAGCCATGTAAGGACATGTAACAACAGATGGGAAAAGGGACATATGGGACATGTAGGGACAGATGGGACAAGGGACAGATGAGCCATGTAAGGACATGTAACAACAGATGGGACAAGGGACATATGGGACATGTAGGGACAGATGGGACAAGGGACAGATGGGACATGTAAGGACAGAAGGGATGTGTAGGGATAGATGGGATAGATGGGACATGTAGAGACATGTGGGAAGTGGTGGCGCAGAGGTTAGAGAAGGTGGACCTGTGATCAAGTCGCTGGTTCGACTCCCCGGACCGATAACATCAAAATGTGGGTGGAAAAGGTGAAGCAACCACACCTCCACCCTCATTTGCCCCACTCACATGCCCTTGAGCAAGGCCCTTAACCCCACCAACTGCTCCAGAACAGGTCCCTCTTGAAAATGAGTTCTCATGACTCGATGAGACGAGCTGAATAAATAAAGGTTTTTACAAATAAAAAATACAACATGTAAGAACTAAAGGGACAGATGGGACATGCAGGGACTGACACATGTAAGGACAAAGAAAACGTAGGGACCAATAGTACATGTGGACACTAATGGGACATACTGGGACAGATGAAATTACTAACATATTAGAAGTTTAGTCCAGAGTTGTAAAACATGCAGTTTATCAAAAATAATAATTTCTGGACACATTCTTGCATTTATTGGAACAAACCCTCTTTAGACAGCTCGGAGCTGAAACTCGTCTTTACAGAAGCTGAACTAGTTTTTCCAAGTAGTTGAGCTTCGCTCCCACCACACCCGGTGCTTTAAATCATGTGATGTACTTCAGTTCAAAACGCTGGCGCACCGTGCGGCGGGTGACAGGCATTCTGAAGCTCTTCTGTCTCTGCGAGACAAACGGCTTCTGACTAATGACGGGTTCAGCTCGTGAAGCGTCCGCCTTCAAACTCACCTTAAGTGCTTCGAACACCGAACGGCGTGTCAGAGTCTCGCCTCGAGGACCAGGTTCTGGAGGAACAGAGGATCCGGCGCCGAGACAGGAGCAGAATCCTTCGAAAGACTCAGCGTGACTGTGTTTGGTAAAAGCCTCAGACTTGAAGGTCACTTTTTGTTCTGCGCAGTGTTTCCTGCGCCGCTCGGCCGCAGCAGCTAACGTTTCCAAAGAGCACCGAACCGGTCCCGTCGGTGTCGGACCTGCTGGAGCTGCAGCGTTAACCGGCTGCAGGCATCATCAGCAGGAAGCTTCGTCCTCCCGGCCATCTTTAAACACAAAAACACTGATTCGTTCAAGTGAACAAACGTCACAGCCACGTTAGATTCTGTTCCCCGACCCACCAAGGCAACATTTAGACACGACTCTCGGCTACTACCAAACCCAGTTTTAGCTGTAAAATTTACTGGGTCATCACCATTTGTGTTTGCTTAGGTTGATGTACACGTTGTGTTCAGAAACATGGGAAGATCATTGACGTTCAGGTTCTTAAATCTACACATTTATCCAGCAGTCACGTTGACCGCTGGTTCTGGTTCTGTTCTTTCTGGGTCCAGAACCTTAACACGTGTGTCCGTCAGGAAGTCGTTTTTATTTGATCTAAAAGTCTCTTGGCTGTGGCGGAGCGTCGAGGCTCACACCTTTAACTTGTCCTGTAATGGTGCCCAGATAAAACTCGTTTCTTTTAGGTTTGTTTCAGCTCTTTTGACGTGTGAAGAAGTTTACAGCAGTCAGTATCTTACCTGCAGCTGGAAGGATCTCGGTTTGAAAAATCAAAGTCTGAATCGTTTACAGGTTAAATTTTTATTAAAAAAAAAAAGTTAAACTTATTGATTTATCAGCGAAAAGGTCGAATCAACTTTAAACTTTTCTTTTCTCCTTGTCAGCTGGTAAAATCAACTACGCATTTATTTTGTTTGTCTTCATTTATTTTTCTGGACATTGTCAATAAACACAAATGCCCCTGACAAAGCTTAAAAATCTTTGAAAACACTATTTAAATTGGTATGAATGCTCCCGTTACCTCACAGGAACTGTACTGCCCTCTAGTGTTCCCGGGGGGGAAAACCCACCATATTGAAATCCGTTATAAATGCATTCTTAATCGCACATTTAGCGTGTCGTTAAATAATGCTTTCCTATCAGTCGATGATGCTTTCTGTGACGGATGCCGTAAAAACTGCTGATGGGGGTGAACCATGTTTGGTGTTTTGAACCACTTTGGCATGACTGTCTCAGAGGAGTTGACGGGGGAGAGGGTGGGCCCCAGATGCCATCTAATCACCAGCAATCTCTTTTTTCCCACTATGGAGTATGTTGTTTGTGGGAACCTGTGAAGAAATCCTTTGGTTGAAGGACGAAACGTCTCAGCAAAAAAAGAAACCGTCCAGATGACCTGACTGAACATTGTTGGCACTCTTCTTACGGTTCATTCAAATGTTATGCATCCGTTTCCTTAAATGATTTTTGTCTTTTCAAGTGAAGCTTAGAAAAGCCCAATAGTTTTTAAATGTTACTTGTCCTGCCGTAAACAACGTGTTGTGGCGACGTTTGAGTGAAAACACGTGTCACTCCACAACAACAACAACCGTCTGCGATTCCTGCAGGAGTTTGTGATGATCGTGGTCTTCGGGTTGGAGTACATCATCCGGATCTGGTCCGCCGGGTGCTGCTGCCGGTATCGAGGATGGCAAGGTCGACTTCGCTTCGCCAGGAAACCGTTCTGTGTCATAGGTGAGTTCCATCTCCCTGTTGCTCCTCTTCCCCTCGTCCTCTGATGGACTATTGCTGTCCTCTAAGAGGCTCCTCAGCTCTTTGGCTCATTGTAGCCATAGTTTCCTGGTGTCACTTTCAGCTGTGGTTTAAGAACAGAAGCCATTTACGTAAGAAGGTTCCTCTCTGTGCTTTTTCTCTCTGTGGTGTTTAGACGTGGATTTGTCTGCTCGGAAACAACAACAGGGTGGTCTGGAGGGAGGGGGGACACAAAGAACCACGAGTTCTTGGTTTTGGGCTGATGATTGCAGCACTGCGGTAACAGAACAAAACATAAAATAAAAACATAAAATACAAACAAAACGACAATAAAATGAAACGTGAAGAGACAAAACAAAGGAAGTATGTTTCGTTAAGGGCTAAAGCTCTTTATTAAGTCAAAAAACATTTTTTCTGTTATTCAGTTTGGTTGTTAGCTAGTTGTTCAGCTTGGTGTTAGCTAGTTGTTCAGCTTGGTAAGAGCTAGTTGTTTAGCCTGGTAAGAGCTAGCTGTTAAGCCTGGTGTTGGCTAATTGTTCAGCCAGGAAATAGCTAGTTTTTCAGCCTGATGTGAGCTAGTTGTTCA